TTCCTTTCCTTTTCCTTCCTTTCCTTTTCCTTCCTTTCCTTTTCCTTCCTTTCCTTTTCCTTCCTTTCCTTTCCTTTCCTTTATTGTTTCTTTTTCTTTTAAGAAATCATGCAAGCACTCCAAGATAAATGAATGGCCACAAGCCACACATACCACAAGTGTACGTGCAGATTCATTAAGCCATTCCATATTGCACACTCAGTTATAGTCACGTTCAACGTTTCCAGATCTACCAGAAATACCTTGCCAACTATAAATAAGTATTCGCGTTCATTTATCGTAAATTGTCACGTTGTCAGTAGAAAAAATCTTTAAGTGTCTAGTCTTCAGTACTAGCGCTTTTGCACTAATTAGGTACGTTTTTCGCTCACACACATTACCACTTCTACATGCAATGTTCTATGTACACAACGCTCAACTCAACATGCGAACAATATATGACCAAATCTGGTCTATAATTTCATGCTAAGAGCCCGCAAAAGTGGCAGTCTGTTGGAAATGGAACGACACCACGCGGAGACGACAACACATGGAAGTTTAATCAAACTGTCGGAATAGAGTATTAGAATATTAGGCGAAGAATGCAAACTAACCGATACTGATATGAGAAATTGGTTAAATCAGTGATAAAACTGGAATCAAAATATATTAAACTGGAAGCAACGAAAAAGTTGATAGCTTTCCATACCTTTATACATGGCATGACGTCATAGTTGATTTACATGTACGCGCTCTCTGTACTACTATTTAACTTGTTGTCTTGGTTACGGGAGCTTGAGCTCTGAGAAACTTGTTTTATAATGAATACTTTGTTGGTAATAGGAATCTGACAAATGGCTTTAAGATGTGGAATGAATAAAATTCCTTACAACTAAAATCTTATGAACCAAATAATTTGACTTACTCCAAAATGGATTCGTTGGGAATTAATTTCTAGCGAACAATATGTTTTTGAATTATTCGAAATATATCATTTTCTACTTGCATGCAAAGCTTGGATTAGAAATATCTTGGCTCATTCAATCAGATATATTTTAGCTGTTTAAAAAATATTTATTGATAGATAAAATATCGTTAACGTTGGAAGAGAAAGAAGGGAGAAGAAAGGAAGGGAGAAGAAAGGAAGGAAGAAAGGAAGGAAGGAAGNAAGGGAGGTCGTTGTGAGGGGACTAGTTAATATGTATCCTTAAGAACTCCAAATTCTCAACTATTCTTTCCCAGATTGTGGGTATTTTAAACTAAAGTAAAACAACCTTCGGAAATTCAAAATATTTTGAAATTAAATAGAGGATATTACATGGGCGCGCGGAGATACGAAATTTATCTTCGAGTGTTGAAAAGATCTCTCACRAGTGAGCGCAGCGAACGAGTGAGAGATTTTCAACACGAGAAGATAAATTTCGTATCTCCAAGTGTGCCCATGTAATATTCTGTTTATTATATAATTATCAATAAAGTATGTTTTGGCTTTTTCAGGCAATTCTTTCCGTGTATTTTTGAATAGCCATCGCAATGGTGTTATTTTCACACGTGTTATTTTCACGTGTGAAGATATCAATTTTTCGAAATAGAGAAAAATAGATATTTCATTGGTAATTATATAATAAAACTCGTTATTACATCTCGTATGAAATTGCGTTTTAAATTACGCAGTGATGGGTGAAGACAAAAATCATTTGATCACGTTTTTGGAAGCTAAATCAATCAAGTGAAACAAACAGGAAAATAAGATAAATAAATTTTGATAAAATATATTATAAACATAAAATGTAAGCCAGGATATTCCCTGAATGGTACCTATGACTAGGAGAATCCATCTCTCACACTGGGTCTGTGAGCCAGTATATTCCAAAATCAGGAGCTCATTACTAGGATCATACATCTCCCATACTAGGTCTGTGAGCCAGATTATGTTCGCAGGAAACTATTACTAGGAGCATCCGTCTCTTATGCATTCCTTTCTAACGAAGCTTAAACTGGTAAAGAAAGAAAGAAAGCGAGCAAGAAAGAAAGAAAGAAAGAAAGAAAGAAAGAAAGAAAGAAAGAAAGAAAGAAAGAAAGAAAGGAAGAAAGGAAGAAGGAAAGGAACAAAGGAACAAAGGAAGAAGGAAAGAAAGAAAGAAAGAAAGACGAGAGTACTCAACATACCACCTTTAGAAATAATGCAGTTAAGGAAGAAAAGGATATTAACCTTTAGACGGCCAATACCTACCCCTCAATAGTTGAAAACATCTACTTGCTTCAGTTATTGAAGATAAGACAGCGATCTCCAATATATATTTCTCTTTATATACAGAAAAATCTATAAGTTGCAAAGCTTGATCTCATTAGAATTAACAATACAAGCTCTTTGACATTATAAGAACTTAAGTAAAATTCATTGCTTGAAGCGTTAGTGATCTATGTTTCTTCCTAATGCTACTAAGTTTATTAAGTTAAGATAATTGCCCAAAGTTTTTTTTAATATGAAAATTGTTTTCAATAGATAAATCAAACCTTAAGACCAATCATGGGATTTTCGTTGGCGTTATTGCTTACACTTGCTTGCTCCTTATTGGTTGAAGTTTCAAGATACGAACAATCCGCCATCATCCGCTGAAAGATACTTTACTAAAGATTTTTTAAAAATGGTTTTTAAACTTGAAAAAATAAACTAACTAGAGATGTTTTTGATAAGAGATCAAACATTAGCAAAAGAAAAAGAAAAGAAAAGCATAGCAAAAAAAGGAGAGGAAGTAGAGAAGAATGTGTAGAGCAACAACGTGAATTAAATAATGAAGATAAATGCACAAATGTTGTAATATCCTACGAGAGCTGTTGATGTTGACTTGTTTTCAACAATAATCTTTTTTTTTTTTCACTCAGTGTCTAATCTGCGCTTCGATCCCAAGACGAGTTCAGACCATTCTAGAAGGATTTCACTGCAAGACTTCCACTGTAGATCATTCGTAGCATCATTTATTCACATAATTTTAGCTTCCTTATTCAAAAACATTTAAAAAAATACTAAGCTACACAAATGATTATTGCTTGCCTTTACTACGCATGCTCGATATTTTTATTGATCAGGTCACGCAATACCCAAGTCACGCGAAATCATTTGTTACGACCTTTTATGTTTACATTTACTGCGCATGCTCCTCATATTTATCAGTTGGCTTCTTTGTCACGCAATACCCAAATCACGCCTACAACGCGTCTTCTATTTGATTTCTTCTTATTGGTCGATTCCGTCGGGAATGATTCCTGTCTCTTGGACAACATTTTCTGCGAAGCATTCTCTCGAGTTCATTTTTAAATAGTGGCATTCGTATCAAATACTACCACAAAATTGATAATCGAATTCAGGAAAAGAATTGCAAAAGATCCTGTGTTCGATATGTTTTCTTTGTCACAAGCAAGGCCGTTGTCAAGACTGATTGAAGTTAGTTTCGGCAACCAAGTTAGAAGCGATATGACTGTTATTATAAATAGCGTCTTGGCGAGTTTATTATTTTCTTTTATCGTTCTCAAATTTTGAAAATTCAGATTCTTAAAAAATCGTATTTTGATCCAAAGTGAGAGGTAACTGATAGAGATGATTGCGAGGGATATCACACTAGAGATAACTGAGACTGCTTTTACGATTACACTTTCTTCGTTTGAGGCTGATTTTTTCCAAACACTCATGCCAAAAGTGACAAAAATAGAAGCAGAAATAATCCCAACTAAAAACCAAATAAATGTTATAACTGTAAAGTAATTATTTTTAGACAGAAACCTGTGTTTGAGTGGTTTAAAAGTTGCGTAAACTCGTTCCAATGAAATGGCTGCCATGAAAAAAAGACTTCCAAGAAGAGGAATAGGAATAGCGAGGATGTGGAAGCTTTTCAGGTATTTAGAGTCCACGATATTGACTGGTATGAAGAGAACAGCAGTTATTCCTACTAGGAAGTCAGCGATTGTCAAGTTAATGAGAAGATAAGTTGATCTTTTGATGAGGAAGGTACGTTTGTGGAAAACTAAAAGTGCAAACGCGTTGACTACAAAGATTACGATTGATTCGATTCCAAAGACCATCAAAAGCAATACTGCCTTCCAATCTCCATGAATATTCAGTTTGTTATTGCATGGTGCGTGTTGACCTGTGCCGGTACTATTCATTGTGAAACGTTATTAGTGGCAAAACGACTTAATCTGGCCCTGAATTGCAGTGTTGGAAAAGTGTTGTTGCACTGACGTTGTTGTTACTCTAGATCCTATTCTAGATCCCTCTATGTTCTTCTTTTTTTACTTCTTCTTCTTCTTCTTCTTCTTCTTC